GGGCGGGGCGGATGTTTGGGCGTAGGAAGGGTGTGCGCGTTTGACGTACTAGTGTGCTGCTTGGTTGATTCGGTCAGGGCTGGGGTGGTGCCAATCTGCCAATCAAGGGCTGCTGCGGCCTTTCATTAAGAATAGGGTCAGCTACCCGCTCGCTTGAGCCAAGCATTTGGGCATCCAACAGCCCGCCCGACCGCCCAGCCCAGCCGGGCGCATGAGAAAGCCGGCTTGCTCATGCGCCCGGCAGCCGAACGCACTGCCGGCCATGCCTGCGGCGGCACCCCGCGCAGCAGCGGCGGCCCCGCGCACCGCAAGCCGCGCCGCCCGGCCCCCGAGCTCCTGGCCGCCTGCCGCGCGGCCCGCCAGCAGCGCGTGCACCTCGCCGCGGGCGTCGGCCAGCTGCTGCTGCAGCTCCAGCGCGCCATCGTTGCAGGCGCACACCTTGAGCGGGGTGCGCATGACAAGCGTTTCTTTCACTGGCTGCGCATCCGTCTCGCGAGTGCGGGCAGAGGAGTTGGTGGGCGGAACGTGTGTCCAAGGCGGGTTGCATGACGGCACGAACTTTGGAGCTGGGCCATCATCAGATAACCATAGGAGCGCAAGGTGCAGGGGGTTGCGTGATGCGTGTCGATTGCATGCATGCACCTTTCCGCTGAGCGCCTTGGCCTGGTCCTTGAGGGCCTCGACCTCCTTCCTGTGCGCCAGCTGCGCCCTGTTCAGCCGCTGCTCGCCCTCCTGGTTGGCCTGCGCATGGCGCGGGGGCCGGTGTCTCTTGTATTTTTCAGTGTTGCATGCTCTCGCCAGGGGCCAAACGAAAGCGCACGAGCCGCCAGCCAATGCCGTGATTGCTGCCGGTGGTGCCGCCGCCGCGGCTTGCCCTTGGATCGCGTGTATGTAGCAACTGAAATAATACTGATTATTTTACAATGCCACCTGCCTGTTGAAGCGCCCGGATCTGGGCGATCAGGTCGTCCTTGGTCGCCTGTAGCCCAATGGCTCGCTGCTCGAGCTCCGTGACTCGAGCGACCAGCTTAGCTCCAGCAGCTAGATCCATGCCTGGAGGGCTGGGCTGCTGGCTGGCCACGAGCTCCGTCATCACAGCAAGATCTTGGCGGGACACGCTGCACTCCTAAGCCGTGTCAAGGGTGATGCATATACCAATGAATCCACTTCTTTTCAGTAGAAATTATTGTACATGCGACGAAAGCGACTCGCTCGATCGCTGATTTGATCGGCTCGGCTTCCAGGTGTCGGTTCCCCGCATATGTCAGTCTGGAGGTGTACGTTCCGGCACACTTTCATTCGGCCACGGACGGCAGCACCCTTGCACGCCGCGCAGCCAAGCTGAGATGGCCCTCGCCAGCCGTGCTCTTGCCCTGCGCGGGCAGGTTGCCTCAGCTATCGCCCCCAGGCCCTTCTCGGCTGCCTGCCGGACGTCTCGGCGTGGTCGTCTGTCGTCAGCGGGTGCTGCCGGTGAGCTCGCGGAGCTGCGAGGCGACGGCGTTGGCGGCGGTCCAACGCCCTCTCTCGAAGGGGCACGTGTGGACCAACCGCAACCCAACCGTGGCGCGAGCTGATAGCATATGCAACTCTTCATATCCGCTCCTTCCACAGCTCCGCGCAACCTGGGCGCCGTGCTGGAGGCCCCCGTGGGCCGAGATGATCTGAGCGCCCGCCTGGTGTCCGCCGGCGTTCTGACGCTCGGTCGCGGTGCGTGCGCGCGTGCGCGGCCCGACGTTCGCGCGTTGCGTGCATGCATGCGTGTGTGCATCCATACACGCGCGCCGGCATACTTCTAGCCCCTCGCCATTCTCCCATAGCTCGCGCCGCGCAGTCCGCCGCGCCCGTGCCGGCCGCTGCACAGCCCATCGCAGCCCGCCGGCCCGCCGATGCCAACCCCCACCCAGACAAGCACCCCAATCCCCTTCACCTCCCGCTGCCCTCCTCTGGGCACCTTCCCCTCCCCGTTTCCGCAATGCGACTCCACTGCCCCCCGCCGCCTGCCCCCACAGACTTCTGCGCCGCCGTCGGCCTCGCCACCATGGCGCTGGGTTACGCCGCCTCATCAGGCCTGCTGGACTCCCCCACTCAGGGCCGTCTGGAAATGCTCTCCACCAACGCCGCCCTCGCCTGGACCGTCTGGCGCGCCGCCGCCCTCAACGCGCGCGTGCTGCGGCGCCGCTACGCCACCGGCGGCGGCGGCGGCGGCGGCTGCGCGGCGGGGGCGGCGCGGCGGGGGGCGGACGCGGAGGCGGACGCGGGGGCGGCGCTGGCGGCGCTGGCATGGGGGGCGAGCGGGGCGGAGCTAGTGGATGCGGTTGACTCCCAGGTGAGTGCTTGTGTAGTAACTCTTGTAGTCTACTTGGAAAATGGTGGTGATGGACGTACATGGGGTGTGTGGGTGTTTCCGTGTTTGTGTGCCTGTGCCGGTGTGTTTGAGAGCGTGCGCGTCCGCCGCGCCGCGTGCGGGCCGCATGCATGCGCACGTGACCGTGTCGAGGTGCTGGCTGCGCTTGTGGCTGCCCCGATTGGCGACGGCCGCGCATCGCCGGTGGGGGGGATCTGCGCGTGTGCCCGGCAGACTTCCTACCGGCTTTGGGCTCGTGGGTTTTTCGCGGGCGTGTGTACGGTAATCTCAGCCGGAACCTGCCCTGTGGCAGGTTGCTCCCTCGTGCAAACCAGCCCAGCGGCGAAGCCACCCCCATCCTGCCTCGCACGACGTATGCCTCACGAATTCATCTGACATATGCTGATCCCGTTTATCGTATGCCTACGGACAGGTCAAGTCCCTGCAGATCCAGTTGCTACACAAGGTGAGGCCCCCACGAGATCAGGGTTCAGGGTTCTAGAAGCCAGCTGCACCCCGGGCGGCCGGTCGACACTCCTGTGCCCGTGCCCCTGTCAGCAGCCGCGCCTGCACAGGCGCTCAGGGGCAAGCGGCGCCAGCACACACGGGATGGCCGATTGCTGCAACATGTCCGCCTTCCCGCCCGCCGGCATTCCTGCCACGCTGCCTCGCGTGAGCTCTGGGGCCATGGCTGTGTCCAAACCGATACGCAAGAGCCCAAACGAACCTTAAAACCCCATTTAACAACCTCAAATTCATGTGATCGCAGGAGGCCACAATCCAGACGCTGGCCCGCATGCTGGGAGAGCCCGGCGGCGGCGGCCTGGGCGGCGGCAACGGCGGCAGTCCAAACGGCGGCAGCGGCGGCGGGGCTCTTGACTGAAGTCGGCCCACTAGCTGTGCGCAACGAGGTGTTGCGCAAGAGGAAAGGGAGAAAAGCGTCGTGCGCAGGGCACAAAGGCAGTCAAACCTGCGCCTGTTGACCGGCCCTTTCGCCACTCCCCGCCGCCGCAGCGCTCAGGCAGGGCCGGCGCGCCCCCATGGGCGGCGCCGGTGCGGCGCCCTTGCGGCCTGCCGATGAAGGGCCACGGTGGTGCTTTTGCTGTGAGGGCGTCATCTCACCGGCTGTGTACTCAAAGCTCGTGCTCCAAGGCATACTTTATACATTTCACAGGGCGCCAGCCTCTCAACACACGCATACCCCCACACATACACACGAGCCCACAAGCATGTTTCATACAGGTTACACTTCACGCCTGCAGTTTTTTAGGAAACCACCCATGCGCCAACACGTGCGAATCTGCCCAGAGCACGTTATTAGGAGTGTGCGTGTGTGTGCTCCCTCCAATACAGGGCCAGAGCACCTTACAGTGTTGCCGGCTGATACCGACGGACCTCCAAAAAAACTCCTTGCAACAACTTGCTTCACTTCAGGATTTCGATCGAGTAGAGTGTGCCCGCGAGTTGGTGCCCTGCGTGTCCTGACCCGCGTGCCCCTCTCTGCCGCGCCGCCCGCCCCCTCCGTTATTGCCGATCAAACGCCCGACGCCGCGGTGATTGCGTGAGCGACAGCTTATATGGCTGTTACACCCGACTTGTCGAGACAGAGGACTGCTTATGTGAGAAGTGCGGACAGTGCAATAGCGCACAAGGTTGAGCTGTGATGCCTTGTTGATGCACTTTGCTAGCTAAAGGATGTCGCATCGTCCACACAACTGACACACACAATTGTCACAGGACGTCCCGAGGGCGGCGGCAAAGGACCAAAATAGGGGGCCGATTACGCCGCCAGAAGGGCCGGCGCAAGCGACCCCACAACAGCGCCACGCTCACAGGGGCCGTGCAGGACGGTGAAAGAGATAGCCATCAGGGTCAGCAGTAAGGGGAACACCCCAGCCAGATTGGCTGCAAGATTGCATCAACGCACCCATGGCGGGCACATGCAGTGGGAGGGAATTCGTGCCCTCCTCCGTCAGCGGCGGTTTAGATGGGTTTGCAACCCTCCTATCCTGGCGTGTTGAGCAGCGATCAGGCGCCACGTGGCACAAAGCGGATCAGGAATAGCAAATGCGACGATACGTGTGCAGGAGTGAGTGCATATGCCTATCTGCCGATTTCCAAAGGCCGCAGCAGCGGTTGTGCTCCGCTGCCCCGCAATAGCCCTTCAAAAACGGGCGGAGGCGCGCCGTAGCCCCTTACTGGGACGGCCACCGCACAACATGCCGCGCAGCAGCGCCCGCGGGGGACAGATGCGGGCCCACCAAGTTGTGCGGCGGCTGTGAGGGCTGAAGCGCGCCTGTGCGCCGCCGCCCTGCAAAGACTGATCCCTGGTGCTTCCCTGCCCACTGGTCCGCACGCCTGCACGGGCTGAGCAGGCGCGAGCGAGTAGAAGTGTGCGAGGTGCACCGGACGCTCCAAAACAGACGGCCTGACGCACGAACAGCGGGGCAGAAGTGCACGTTCCGAGGTTGTGCGGCGCCGTCATCAATCGGTCCTACGGTCCTGCATGTGCGGGACTCCCAACCAAGGCGATGATGCATCGACCCGCCCACGCGCAGGCAGGCGCGCCGCGGGCGTCGGGCGGGAGCCGGGACAGGGGCGCGCAGGCGCCCCGGTGGCTGCAGAGAGGGGGGCCATGGCTGCAAGTGCTTTTGGGCCACAGGGCAAACGGGCCAGAGCCCAACACATTGCGCAGTGCAGGCAGCACAGGCAGCTGTTTGCAGTACAGGCAGCTGTTGGGCCGCACGTGGAGCACGATGGCCATCTAAAGCCCCATAAAGAAGCCTAGGTGTGCCGTTCGCCGGCCCCAACTGAGCAGGGGCCGGGCAATGTCATCCGAGCACCGCTGCGCAACCGCGCATGACAGCAGCGTGGTTGGGGCTCAGAAATCGGCGGGCAGCCCGCACAGGGGAGCCGGACAGAGGGTCTCCAACAAGCAGGTGGGGCCGCCGCGAGGAGGAAACAAACCGCGAGCTCGCGTCGCACACGCGCGTGCTCCTCCTGCCGCCTTGAGTGTGGCCCTGCCGCACAGATTATGCAGCTTCTGCGGGCCCTCCTGCAAAATTCGAACGGATGCGGAATTCTACGGACCTAGACCTGAAAATGCATCAGACCCCATGGGGGCGGCAGGCCGGGCCAGGGCCGGCGCTGCAAGCCAGCGCAGCGCCGCCGCCCTGGTCCGCAACTCCCTCGCCCGGAAGGGTCCGTGCCGCGCCGCCGCGGCGCCCCCGTGCGGCGGGAGGCGCGAGCCCGAGGCGGCCGCGGAGGCGTGGGGATGCGGACACATCATAGAAATGACTTTCTCCCATCAACCCGCAGAGGCGCGGCCAATACCAAGTGTCAGTATGTGTTCAAGATTAGACCCACGGGCGACGGCCCAGGACCCTGCTGGCCGCCGATTCGGTGGGTTTGGTCAGCCCGACACAACCCTTCAGGTCCGAGCGCCAGGCCGCAAAGCAACGGCCGCAGGTTCGGGCCACCCCCTCACTCGTCACTGGCAAGTCCACACCCTGTTAAGCGGAAGTTTGAACACAGATTTGTATTTGAGTTTCAACGCGAATTTAATGTGAGAAGGTTGGTTGGTGTCAGGTAACACATGTTTGCGAAATCACCACGAATGCAAACAGTCATGTGTGCAACAGCAATGCGCATGCAGGCTGTCATGCAAAGATCGCGCACACGAACGGGATGCGCGGCGCACGACCCTCTACCAACAACCCCGGCGCACGCGCGCTCTCGATGACTCACCACTCAGTCGTCCTGAGGCAGCTGCTGCCGTAGCACTGCACCCCCATCCACGGCGCGTCCGCGCACGCGGCCTCGCCCCAGCGCACGCACTCGCCGCCGGCGCCGCCGCACTGGCGGTACCTCATGATGGGAATCGGATTGGGCACAGACACGCCGAACGGGACCATCTGCACGCCCCCGAAAGTCATGGGCCCCAGCGCCATCGGCCAGCCGACGCCGCCCACGGGCTGGGCGGCGAAGGGGTACGCCGCCGCCTGGAGCGGCGGCGTTGCGGCGGCGCCGCCCCTGTCGACGCGCGGCGCCAGGACCGCGGCCGCGGTCCCGGCCGCGGGCGGCGCGGCGGCGGCGGCGGGG